TTAAACACTGTGTATAAATTTAAACTCAATCGGATATTAACTTTAGCCTCTAGAGCGTCCACAAGATTTTTCAAAGTGATCAAGGGCCATAACTCTGGCAGTAATTATCGGAAATCGCTGAAAATCAATAGGCTTCTTCGTCTAATGACCTTAAACACTGTGTATAAATTTAAAGTCAATCGGATATTAACTTTGGCCTCTAGAGAGTCCAAAAGATTTTTTGAAGTGATCAAGGGCCATAACACTGGAAGTATTTATCGGAAATCGATGAAAATCAATAGGCTTCTTCGTCTCATGACCTTAAACACTGTGTATAAATTTAAAGTCAATCGGATATTAACTCTGACCTCTAGAGCGTCCACAAGATTTTCTGAAGCGATCAAGGGCCATAACTCTGGCAGTTAATATCAGAAATCGCTGAAAATCAATAGGCTTCTTTGTCTCATGACCTTAAACACTGTGTATAAATTTAAAGTCAATCGGATATTAACTTTAGCCTCTAGAGCGTCCACAAGCAGCGACAGACGGACGGGGGCGACGACAAATCACTTGTCAAAAGAGGTATCGCAGATTGCATGTATTATTGGGACTTGTGTGTTAATTATGCAGACCGTGGGAAAAACTTGTGCAAGTTTCGCGCTAAATTTAAAGGAGCTAAATCGCTAACATTTGGGACCTAGAAATTGACAGAAGTGGGTCGCAACGCATATAATATGAATGTATATAACCTGATTTACATTCAAAGGTTTCCGTTTTTACTCTAATTTCAAATCAGTTATGTTCAACGAAATAAGCCAGCAGTCTCAATCGAATTCAAATTTCTAGCGTCTGGTTATTTCAGTCTACATACGCCGTTTGATTTGGTGCAAGTGTCTAGCCTCGTTCCGCGAGTCTCTTGCTAGAACTGGGGCTGAAACGCATTATGGTACACGATTCGTGTACCAATGGTAAAATGTTTATTTTGTCTTAAATATTGGATATCAGAAGCCCATCTTTTTCCGGTAAGATCACAGCATCAATGTTGATTTAAATTGACAAATAATTTGTGTTTTCAAAGTTGAAGATTTTGGATGATATTGAGTTAGAGACTTAGCTACTTTAACCATTTTCACTGCATCAGTGTAGTATACAATAACTTATATGGCATGGTACCTTTTACGGTAATAGAATTCAAAGCGTTGATTGGCTGAGGCATGATCGTGATCTACAATATGCCATCCGAAAATTCCATTCTCTGTGGATTTCAAAATGAAGTAGTACTTATGATTAATATAGGCCTATAGTTAATAAATGAGAGTACAATCGTATGGATACATTGCCCTGTGAATTTCAAAACGACGCCAGGATTTTTGGAAATTAATTGTGTTACGGAGACGCAAAATTCTGAACAGCTTTTGCAAAACGGAAATAATATTCGAAGAGAAATAAAAAGACACAAAACTATCTGCCGATAATTAAACCGATGTGTGCTATGATTTGTTGTTGATAATAATTTTTAGTACTTATATAAAAAAAATAATAACATTATACCTATTCAATGATTTAATGGCCTCTCCTGAGGCAAATGTATTGCGGCTACAGCCAATTGCCAAGGTTAATTGACAGGACTGCTTAAAGAAGCTAAATCGCTAATATTTGGGACCTAGAAATTGACACAAATGGGCCGCAACGCATATAATAATGTAATATGATGTTTATAAACTGATTTACATTCAATCGTTTCTGTTTTTACTGTAATTTTTAATCAGTTATGTTCGGCTAAATATGCCACAAGTCTCATGTGAATGGCAATCTTTAGCGTCTGGTTTTTCCAGTATAAAACAATGGTAATTTTTGCGCATGCACTCCAGATAAGAATATAGCGTCACCATTTGACATGACTTGTGGAATATGTCTAGCCGCGTTCTTTGAGTCCCTTGTTCCAAATGGCGCTGAAACTCAATATCATCAAAAATCTTCTACATTGAAAACACAAATTATTTGTCAATTCAAATCAATATTGGTCTTGTGATCTTACAGGGAAAAAAAGATGGGCTTCTGATATCCAATATTCAAGACAAATTAAACATTTTACCATTGGTACACGGATCGTGTACCATAATGCGTTTCAGCGCCATTTGGAACAAGAGACTCAAAGAACAGGGCTAGACATATTCCACAAGTCATGTCAAATGGTAACGCTATATTCTTATCTGGAGAGCATGCGCAATAAATACCATCGGTGTAGACTGGAAAAACCTAGTTCAGCTCTGAACGTAGGTCTCATTTTACACTCGACCTCTACGTTCAGGGACTGTCCTATTAAATCCTTGTCGAAAATCTAATCGCTTCCCAGTCAATTTTACTGGGCAACTTTTTACTGCTAACCGGTCGCGTGTCAGTCCCTGTGAACGCCTGAACAATATAAATGAACATCTTAGGGAGAAAATAAGACCTTGCTTACCTGGGTGTAACGGTGATATAATAATACGTTTTTTTAAATCGGATAAAAACTTTGACTTCTATAGGGTCCACAAGCTGAAAACTCGATTTTTCGTACAATCAGGGGCCATAATTCAGGAAGTTATGGTCCGATATGCGCGAATATTGAAAGAAACCGAACTCTTTGGGTTATAAACTTACATTTCAAGTTTCAACAAAATTGGATAAAAATTGTGATCTCTATAGGGTCCACAACCTTGATATACATATTCTTACGCTATTTGAGAACGAACGGCGGCCATTTTGTCTGTCAATTTGGGGCCGATTTTCACGAAATTCGAACTCAGTCGTCCTTAGGGTGTAACGGTGATATAATAATACGGGTTTTTATATCGGATAAAAATTGTGACTTCTATAGGGTCCACAAGCTAAAAACGTGATTTTTCGTAACAATCAGGGGCCATAATCCAGGAATTCACGGTCCGATATGCACGAATATCGAAAGGAACCGAGATCTTTGGGTTATAAACTTACATTTCAAGTTTTAACAAAATCGGATAAAAATTGTGACCTCTATAGGGTCCACAACCTTGATATACCATATTTTTACGCTATTTGAGAACGAACGGCGGCCATTTTGTCTGTCAATTTTGGGCCGATTTTCACGAAATTCGATCTCAGCCGTCCTTAGGGTGTAACGGTGAAATAATAATACGTTTTTTTAAATCGGATAAAAATTATGACCTCTATAGGGTCCACAAGCTAAAAACGCGATTTTTCGTACAATCAGGGGCCATAATTCAGGAAGTTACGGTCCGATATGCGCGAATATCGAAAGGAACCAAGATCTTTGGGTTATAAACTTACATTGCAAGTTTCAACAAAATCTGAAAAAAATTGTGACCTCTATAATATACCATACTTTTACGCTATTTGAGAACGAACGGCGGCCATTTTGCCTGTCAATTTTGGGCCGATTTTCACGAAATTCGAACTCAGTCATCCTTAGGGTGTAACGGTGATATAATAATACGTTTTTTTAAATCGGATAAAAATTAGGTCAACAAGCTAAAAACGCGATTTTTGGTACAATCAGGGGCCATAATTCAGGAAGTTATGGTCCGATATGCGCGAATATCGAAAGGAACCGAGATCTTTGGATTATCAACTTAGATTTCAAGTTTCAACAAAATCGGATAACAATTGTGACCTCTATAGTGTCCACAACATTGATATACCATATTTTTACGCTATTTGAGAACTAACGGCGGCAATTTTGTCTGTCAATTCGGGCCGATTTTCACGAAATTCAAACTCAGCCATCCTTAGGGTGTAACGGTGATATAATTGAACGTTTTTTTAAATCGGATAAAAATTATGACCTCTATAGGGTCCACAAGCTAAAAACACGATTTTTGGTACAATCAGGGGCCATAATTCAAGAAGTTACGGTCCGATGTGCACGAATATCGAAATGAACCGAGATCTTTGGATTATCAACTTAGATTTCAAGTTTCAACAAAATTGGATAAAAATTGTGACCTCTATAGTGTCCACAAGCTAAAAACGTGATTTTTCGTACAAACAGAGGCCATAATCCATGAAGTTTCGATCCGATACATGACAATATCGAAAGGAACCGAGATCTTTTGGAGATAAACCTATATTTCAAGTTTCGTCAAAATCGGATAAGAATTGTGACCTGTAGAGTGTCCACAAACAAATTGTGGACGGACGGACAGGGGCGACCGCATAATACGTCCACATGAAAATGTGGGCGTATAAAAATACGTCTCCGTCTTCTAACCGACTTGGCGGACATCACTGAAAGGGTAACGCACAAATTCAAGAACTCGGCCATATAAGAGTAAACGAAATTTAGGTAAGCCTGGGAGAAAAAAAAATGAAATCTTTGAAAAGTTGAGAATCTTCAGTGATTTATTGCTTTGCCTAGCTAAATTACAATAATTTACAATCAAATTCTTTCAAAAATCCCAATTTTTTCGCACCAGGCCGAGTTCTTAAATTTGTGCGTTACCCTTTCAATGATGTCCGCCAAGTCACATGAGACTTGTGGCGTATTTAGCCGAACATAACTGATTAGAAATTACAGTAAAAACAGAAACGACTGAATGTAAATCAGTTTATAAACATTCATATTATATGCGTTGGGACCCATTTTTGTCTATTGTCTATTTCTAGGTTGCAAATATTAGCAATTTAGCTCCTTTAAAAGAAATGTCGCTTTGAAAATATAGAACGCATAATTACCACAAAGAAAAACTGTTCAATAACTATTTTAGTGGTTCAGTCTTCACTATTTGTGCCAGAATTACTTATTTCAATACAAACTGTAATGATATATGTTGACAATTGTGCTTTGAACCTATTTGTATTTTGCGTAAGGAGTCTTAGAATGTATCAATTGTAGCGTTAAACACAGTTTAACGGTACGACATTTGTAGCTAGGTCGAGAGGATATGAGGTTTCTTAATAATCTAACCGTGGTCCCCTAGTACCAGGCAGTAGGCCCAGGCCTACTCCCCCTAGTAGTAGGCCTACACATTGTATTGGCTTACCTCTGAAAGCGTGAAAGCTAATGGAATCAAACCAGAAAGGTAACATCCAATCGACATTCCAAGAGACAGCAAAACCAATGTCGTGATATCATCCATTTCCGCTTAGCAGTATGTCTAACGTCGAAAAATAATACCAACTTAACTTCCACCAGGTATGATGATCTTCGTTTCCACGAATGCAAATTTGGATATCATGGCAGAGTTCTGGTGTGCAATGAAGAGCGCATGACACTGATAGCAATATATTTTTTTTATGAATTTCCCCATACGGCTATTTATAGCGATACCGACGCGCGTCGATGTAGGGTCATAGATTTATACACAATGACGTATATATATATATACGTCATTGGTTATACATTCCAAACTTAGGCATCCCAAACTTCGGCTGCCTATCTACAGCTAGCTCCGGCGTATGACGTAGATGGGTCGCTGCGTGCAGTATGAAACTTAGGCTGCCTGTCTACAGCTAGCTCCGCCTGAGATCATTATGACGTATGACGCAGATGGATCGCTGCGTGCAGTTTGAGAGTTATAAACTAGAGCGGTAAAAGTTTATTAACTGCTATTCTAATAACAAGGGGGTGAAACAGCCCGGGGTGAAACAGCCCGATAAAAAAATAGGTTGGGATGAAACAGCCCGGGGTGAAACGGTCGTGGGATGAACTGACCCGCATCCAGAGAGATGGTGACTGGTGGCCACGAAGCATAGAACTAGAAGTTAGAACAGAACAAAGTTTCTTAGCACGGGATTTAGTCATAACTACATAAAATCTGGTCAACAAAATGTACTATTTTACAATATTCCAATTAATTGATGATATAAATTTCGTCTTAACACACCTAACTAAAAAATTTGGAAAAATTCAACTAGGCCTTGAGCGTTTTCACAATTTCACTATCAATGAGACTGGTAAATCTTGTCTACAAACAGGAAAAGGGAGAATCTCATTGCCGCGCATGCGTAAGATGTCACCTCACCACTGATGCAAATGACAGCAGGCGACCTCATAGGTCTTTATAGGATATCTATGGGCGGTATCACGTCATTTGGGACTCACGACATTTGGGACTCAACATAAACGACATTTGGGACTCAGTTGACAACGTTTGGGACTTGATTGGCGTCAATTGGGACTCAATATAAACGACAGTTGGGACTATTTATATATGAGAGATATAGTAGGTAGTAACAGCTGTCTTAGTTGTCTTTCGTTTTATCATAGATAATATTTTGTTGATCGGCGATTGTTGAGACCGCGATTAACACTGCTAGTTCTCCTTTGTTTTGTTTTATCTGCGAGTATAAAACTTGACAATAATATATTGTTGAAAATTTGTGTTTTTCTTTTATCAAATAGTAAACGAGCTTGATTGACCGACCACTGCTAATGTTTTTTCGTGAAACGGTATAACTGCAATCAACACACGGCCGCCATTCTCGATGATTGACAACTCACGTTTTTCCTCATCCACCAAAGAACCGTTAGGTTTCTTTGAACATACTGTAATAACATTGGGATTATCAGTTAATCAGCTTTAATTATCCCGCTTTGATCGTTGCCATTTCTTATATTTTCCACAAAAAAACTTTGCCTTGTACGCACTATTATCAATTGGTATTGCCATCTACGACAAGCATGTCAACGTGCAGCTCACGGATTATCGTTAACAATTTCTAGGGGCTTGTAAAAAAAAGATTGCATGTCGTGTAAATATTTATTTTGTTTTTTGTGTAGGTCATTTTCAAATAAATTCATCAGCATATTATTCGTTTTAAATAAATATATAACTTTTATGAGAAACGATGATTATCAAAGAACCGTAAGTGCAACTAATGTTTTATCGTTTGGTTGAGCCTTTTACTAACCACGTGTTTCATGATAATAAACATTTTCTTTCATGTTTTGAATTGGCCTATTTCTAATAAATTATCCCGAGTCCCAAACGTCATTAACCCGAGTCCCAAACGACGTATACCAAAGTCCCAAACGTTGTATACCCGAGTCCCAAATGTCGTGGTCATATTTTTTTGAGTCCCAAATGACGTGAGTCCCAAATGACATGTAATCCTATGGGCGACCTATTCGGCTAGCTACCTATTCGACCGATCCAGCTGGCAACCTGTTCGTTGGCAACCTATTCAGAATTATGCCAACAGTCGCCCAAACTCATCTATTTTTATCAACCAATAAAATCCAACGTTACGTCTATCAAATGAAAGTAGAATATATTATTTTTTTATCCATTCCTTTAGCTCAGAATAGAAGTACTTTGTTCGAAGTCCAAAATCGGATCATTGTACAAAATTCTGAGCATCCAGCTATATATACTATTCAAAAAAAGTAGGGGATATTTGATTTTGGGGGCATAATACTAAAATATGCAAATGACTACGAAAAAAGTCACTATAGAACCTAACAGAAGAAACATTTCCAGTTACATGTGACGCCCAAACGCACCAATAGCTACCGCATGGAATGCAGGTGATGCTTGGGATCATCATGGGGGTCCAACCCAAGATTTGCACGACTCTGACTTTGAATGTTACAGTCATTGTGGCATTGAATTCCAGGGTGGAAACATCAGTTTAATTGTTTTAGTGACCAGAAAACAAATTTTGATATGCGTCGGCTTACCCAAAATAAAAGGTTACGTGCCCTTGGCATGCTACAGATCGGCACAACACAGGCGGTTGTGGCGCGGACGATGAATGTTTCTCAGTCTGTCATAAGCAGGCTATGGTCCAGATACCGTGATACACAATCTGTACAGGACAGACCACGCTCAGGTCGACCAAGGGCGACAACTCAAGCCCAGGATCGATTTATCCGTACCTTGGCCTTGAGAAATCGTGTCATCACAGCAAATCAGATCAGCGCTCGTCTTCAAACAGACACTGGTGTGAGAGTGAGTGGCCAGACGATTCGGAATCGACTGCATAGGGGTCACCTTCGCGCCCGACGTCCTCGCGTGATCCCTTGTTTGAGAGATCATCACATTCAGGCAAGACGTCGTTGGTGTAGGGATCGTCAACACTGGGATAATCGACGCTGGAGCAATGTGATGTTTTCAGATGAGTCAAGGTTCACTGTTGATTTTTTGGACAGACGTAGGAGGGTGTGGCGTCGTCGAAACGAGCGCTTCCAAGACGTTAACGTCATCAGACATGATCGATTTGGGGGTGGTTCTGTTATGGTGTGGGGAGGCATCACTGTTGCTGGAAGAACGGCTTTACATGTTGTTGCAGGGCGTGTTACAGGCCAGTACTACCGGGACAACATCTTGGCAGTCCATGTTGTGCCGTTCGCACGACGTCATGGCCGCCGTTTCATCTTCCAGGATGACAACGCAAGATGTCACAGGGCCAGGATCGTTACAGGTTACCTCCAACAACAGAACATCACCACATTACCTTGGCCAGCACTGAGTCCCGACCTCTCCCCCATCGAGCATGTCTGGGACATGCTTGGACAGGGGTTACGTCAACGTCAACAACGTCCTGCCAATGTCCAAGAACTTGCTGCTGCGTTGCAACAGGAATGGGACAATCTGGACCAAAATGACCTTAGACGTCTCATTAGGAGTATGCCACGTCGGATCAATGCTTTTTTGGCAAACAGAGGAGGATTTACCCGTTACTGACTTGGTTGTGATGCTGTGGTAACTTTGCTGTTTGACCCCGGGTATCATTTTACCCTTATAATGGTCAGTCTGTGCCTTACTTAGTCTAACGATCATTTGGAATAAATCGATGAATGTGAACTTCATTTCATTTTGTCATTTGTTTCTTCGTCAGTTTCATTAGGTGACTTTAATAACACTTAAAAATCAAATATCCCCTACTTTTTTTGAATAGTATATATTCTGAAAGGTGATTGAATAAGCTTTCTAAATATTATCAGTGAAAGTTGGCACAATCAATTTAAAGGGTTGCGCTCTCATCCTAACCGTCGCCAACTTTTAAATATTTTAAAGTGAAAGAACGGTAATATTCCGAGTCAAAATTTGGACTATCGTTCAAAATTCTGAGCATCCAGCTATATATATTCTGAAAGGTAATTGAATAAGCTTTTCAAATATTATTAGTAAAAGTTGGCACAATCATAATTCATATTAAAGCGGTTGGCTCTTAACCCGAACATAGCCAATTTTTCATTTTTCTAAATGTAAAGTTAATCCGGTATTTTGTTCGAAGTCCAAATTCGGATCATCGTACAAAATTCCGAGCATCCAGCTATGTATATTCTGAAAGGTAATTAAAAAAGCTTTCCAAATATTATTAGTAAAAGTTGGCACAATCATTTTAAAGGGGTGCGCTCTCATCCTAAACGTCTCCAATTTTTCAATATTCTAAATGTGAAGATAGACCGTTAGTTTTTTCGAAGTCCAAATTCAGATCATCGTTCAAAATTCTGAGCATCCAGCTATATATATTCTGAAAGGTAATTGAATAAGCTTTCCAAATATACTTATTAAACGTTGGCACAATCATATTAAATGGGTGCGCTCTCATCCTAAACCTCGCCAATTTTTCAATATTTTAAAGTGAAAAAATGGCAATATTCCAAGTCAAAATTCGGACCATCGTACAAAATTCTGAGCATACAGCTATATATATTCTGAACGGTAATTGAATAAACTTTCCAAATATTATTAGTAAAAGTTGGCACAATCATATTTAAGGGGTGCGCTCTCATCCTAAACGTCGCCATTGCCATGTTTTTTGGACAGGGTGTAGGTGATATGGTCCCGGTTGGGGAACATAAGTTGTTTTGTAAATAGAACAAACTTCATTCCTATATAGGACACAGGAATGTAGTTCTGATCAAAAAATAGCCTAATTTTCCCTTATTTTTTTTCTCCCTTTTTCAGGCGTTTTTGGTTTTTTGTTTAGATGTATAATTGTTGGGAAGGTTTTGAATTTTGAATATCTTACCAGTTTTGGTGGGAAAAGAGGATATTTGTGCGGAAGAATAACATAGGTAAAAGGGCTTGAAAGATGTCTCACATTGAACCGGAAGTAAAGAAATGATTTGAGATTTTCATGGAGAACCTCATACATGCTTCGAAGGAGATGACTGCCAGGTGTTGTACTTTATGCCTTGTGAAGGAATTAGCTCAACGAATATTGTGGAAAGAGTTACAGCTTGTGACATGAGCGTGAAATAAGATTGAAGTCAATGGGACAATAATTGGTGATCTGTGGCCTGTCTGTAGTGAATGGAACAAATTTTACATTTTACATCAAAGTTTTGAAGATTTTTACTTGAAATTTTCAGAGCAGGTACAGTTGACATTGTAGTTATTATAAACATCTTTATTTCGTGTGCATTAAGTGTAAATTAAAATTTCAGGCACTTGGATTAAATTTTCGGTTTGTTT